AAAAAAAACTTTTAATAAAAATTGTAATAATGCAACAAAATTACACACCTTAAACCACTTCCACTTTGGGTCCGTTGAGTTCTCAAGGATAGGCTCGGGTGTTTACCAAAAATCCTTTTGGCATCGAATCATTGCTTTCAAACACTCATGAAAATATTTACTAATTGTTCGACTGGACCTACTAAAGTTGTACTTGATTGTGCGATTCTTAATATGGTGTGCAAGAATATGTAAAAACATTGCAATCATCTCCTCTACAGACACATTTCGAGTCAGTCGTAGTTGTCCTCTAGTGACAAGAATTTGACATAATTTATGAAATGATTGTCTATCCATCCGTAGTTGGGCAATACATGTCACATCACTCGCATAAATTAGGCCATATAGGTAATCTAATTGCTTATAGACTCTTATAACTGATCGTGAGGGACTTCTAAGGTGTTTTTGGAAACGAAACCAAGCATAGAAATAAGCAGCAGCACACGCAACAAATATGGTTCGAAGGTAGACAATCAATGCATTTAATGTAGCATGTAATTTCTTCTTTGTGGACAAACTTAGATGAGCCATTTGTCTACATCACATAACAAGAGAAAAAAATATCATTAAGGACATCAATTGCCAAGTAAAATAATAAAGAAAAAACAAACAAACTCAATCAAATTACAAGACTAGAACACAACGAAAAAGAACAAAATGTAGACACCAATTAATATTATGAAATGCAATTTGATAAGTGGCAGTTAGTACCAAATCAACATCATTGTTATAGAAAGAACTAACAAATTTGCCATACTTCATCTCCTACCAGTCACAGAACTAATAAATTTGACTGAATGCATATTAACAAGGTGTATTATGATATAGGAAAGATAAGTCTCTTTAATATACTAATTATTTTTCCCATAGAAGCTTGTAAAACACCGACTAGGACCCAAGAACAAGTTTAGAAAAGAAAAAAAAAAGAGCTCAGCACAAAAAAGAAAAAAAAACCCAAACCTAAAACCCAAAAACCAAACCCGTAGCTCCTACTCCACAATGGCGAACTTATCATGGAATCCTTACTGAACCTCAGAAATTCATCATCTACATATATATTAATATTACCACAAGAATACAGAGGAAAAACAAAAGAAAAAAACCAAAGAAAAATGGGAAAACGAATACAAAATAATAATATTCAAGAAATACTAAGAACAACAACTAGAAAACTTGTAAGAAAGAAATCTTACCTGAGAATTCTTGAGCACGAAGAGGTGGTAGCTGGGAGAAGATGGCGGCTAAGAAAAAGAGAAGAAGGGGTTTTTTTTGACAAAACGTATTAGGTTTTGTTGGGTAATGAAAGAGAGTGGCAAATTTGGAATTTTGAAAAGTGTGTGAGCATATAATGGGTAGAAAAAAACGAATTCCTGATGGGTTGGTTCTCCCTGAATTAGAATACCTCATCCTATCAAAGAATTGAATTCCTCCAAAATTAGGAATTCAATTCCTAATTTTGTGTGGGTCCCACGTACTTTTCAATTCCGTTATGTGAAGTAAACACAGGAATTCTCAAAAGTGGAATTCAATTCCTGATGAGAATTCCAATTCCGGATTAGTAAACATGCCATACGTGTAAAAAAGGGTGGAGCCAAGAGTGGAAGGTAACGTCCAGAACAGGTCTTGGTGGAGGAAACCTGGGCCAGAGAAGTTTTAGCAAAATGCCTAATATAAGAGGGAGTGAAGACCCTTGTTTTTCCAAAATTGTCCTTCTAGAATCTTCTGTTTCATCCATAAATTGACTTAAACACAAATTGCTTGTATGTGTTCAAAGCTGCCGTAAGCTGGTTACTATTGAGTATTTTAGGGTATTTCTAATTACCCAATAGAGAGACGATGTCGAATTCATCAAATGGATCTAAAAGCCAAGAAAAGGATTAAGAACCGAACGTTTGTGACACTTGAGACTGAAGATAGAATTAAGTAAAACTTAGTGCAGAAATTTGCACCGTTCGTTATTGCGTTAGCCGAGGTTGAGTCCCAGCTTATCTTAGGGCTTAAAATCATCTCAGAGATAACTATGAGGATTCTAGTGATCGGAGATCAACTTCCGATCGTTTGGATTCAATAAAGGTTCTATGCATATTAGAGGAAACGATTTATCAAGTTGTCATTGAAGAGTTTGTGTTTTAGAGATTGGTCGTTCGACGATTATGTGTACGAGATGAAACGAGGTCGAGACTGACATTTTCACTTCAGAGAGTTTAATAAATACGTTATCGAGCAGAACATGCTATTTAGAAATCGATGTTTTACATATGTAAGAGATAATCGGCACCCCTTTGAGTAGTTTATTTCTTGAGTAAATCTCAAGGGTGAGTTCATAGCAAATTTCAGGGCGTGACAATTACTATATGCCAAGCTAAAAGTGACTTAAACAGTAATATTGTATCTAATTGGAACTAGTGGGAGAAGCAACTTAATTCTATGTTGGAGCCATGCCAGAGTTGGCACTACTGTTGCGTATAAATATACTAATAAGAGCTACTAAGAAACATAGCACCATACACATAGTGAAACCCTTTCTTTTCTCCTTTTTTTATTTTATATTTTATTTATTTTATTTTTTTTGGGGTGCTGGGATCAAGCTAGAATCAACAACATCTTTATAAGTTACCCAAAAAAAAAAAACCTACAACGGGAAAGATGACACGATCC